TCACGGTTCGTGGGTTCGAGCCCCGCGTCGGGCTCTGTGCTGACAGCTCAGAGCCTGGAGCCTGTTTCAGATTCTGTGTCTCCCTCTCTCTCTGACTCTCCCCTGCTTTCTCGCTTGCTCGCTCGCTTACATTCTCTTTCACTCTCTCACTCTCTCTCTCAGAAATAAATAAAACACTAAAATATATTTGTAGTTTTACAAAATGCAAACCATACCATCTAGGATATTCAGAAGTGGCTTCTTCCACTTAAAGAATATAGCCTGAGGGGCGCCTGGGTGGCTTAGTCGGTTAAGCGTCCGACTTTCGCTTAGGTCATGATCTCGCGGTTCGTGGGTTCGAGCCCCGCGTCGGGCTCTGTGCTGACTGCTGGCTCAGAGCCTGGAGCCTGTTTCAGTCTGTGACTCCCTCTCTCTCTGACCCTCCCTTGCTCATGGTCTCTCTCTCTCTCTCTCTCCTAGAAATTAAAAAAAAAAAAAAAAAAAAAACTTTAAAGAATATAGCCTGAGAACTTCCCTACATCCTGAAGATTCTTCAAGCGCATGGCTTCAATAGCCTCACAGAATTCGCAGGGATGAATCACATTTTACTTAACCAAGTGCCTTAGGCTGGTCATTTACAGGGCGGAGGTTGGGGGTAGGGGGTGCAGTCCCAGACCAGGTTTGAGGCCCAGGAACACCATGGGAAGTCTCAGACCTACTCTGGGGCCAACTGTGGGCATCTTTTTCTGCTTTCTGTATGTGGGTGGTCCCTCCTCACATTCACCTGGACATCTGTTGGAACTTTCCTTACTCATCTGTGGGACGGGACATCTTCCCTCCTCACCCAGCATGCAGGGTCAGGAGAGCCTAACTGATGCTCCCTGCCTGCTCCCTCTTTTCTCAGACCTTGTATTTCCACCAGCAGTTGGCTCTAGCTGCCTGGAGTATTTCATACAAAGGAGACTTTCATTCCAGCACTTAAACTTAGAGATTCAAGGGCTCCTGGTGGCTGTTAGTTAAGTGACTTCAGCTCAGGTCATGATCTCATGGTTTGTGCGTTCAGGCCCTGCATCAGGCTCTGTGCTGACAGCTCAGCTGACTGCTTTGGATTCGGTGTCTCCCTCTCTCTGTCCCACCCCCACTCACACTCTGTCTGTCTGTCTCTCTCAAAAATAAATTAAATTAAACTTAAGAGATTCAGTTTGACATAGCAGGCATGTATGTATGCATGTACATGGATAAAATTTCCCGGTCTTTTTGATAATAAGTACAACAAAAAGTTCATGTAACGAGAAACCCACAGGTATACACTATAAAACATAAATCATAAGGAAGTTCTAACCGCAGCAATGCTTCTGAACCTTTTCTCTTCATTTGTAACATAGTGGAGATAATTCTATAGGCAACCTTTTGCACTTTATCCTATGATATGGACACTTTCCCGTATTATTAAAATTCCTTGTAAACACTGGTTTTATATATGTTATCATATGAATTCACCAGATTTATTTAACTGTTCCCCATTGATACTCCTTTCCATGGTTGGGCGGTTGGTCTACACCCCCACACACGTGCATGCACACATTAGTATTTTTTTTTTTTTGAAGAGCTTTAAAAAATGCAGTGGCCTCTGATTTTAATCATGCAATTCTCTTTGATTTCTATCTTGGATAATTAACGATACTTATATACTTAAAAAACTAGGTCTATCTTACCTTGCTCCTGAACCTTCTAATAGAGCAGGGTAATTATCAGAGGTTCCCTCCCCCTGCCCTGCTGCCAGCCTTGACCTAATCCAGGGCCTGAAGCAAGTTCAGGGAACCTGGATAGGGAGCTTTTTTTTTTTTTTGGAAAGGACGCCCGACCTGGCATGAAGGGTGGGTGCTCCCAGCCCGCGGCAATGGGGGCTTCGTCAGCCGTGTCACTCTCCCCAGGCTTGGAGCTGCCTCGGATCAATTATGCTCACAACGGGAAGCCCTACCGCTATGTCTTCGCGGCCGAAGTTCAGTGGAGTCCCATCCCAACCAAGGTACCAGTCCCTGTGTGACGTGGGCTGGCGCTCCCAACAATGATAGCGTCCACCTAAGCTCTAGGATCTCAGACTGAGTGACCTTGATCAGAAAAGGGAGGTCATTTAGGGGGCAGCAGGCAGATCAGAGAGTGAGGTCAGTTTGGGACAGAATACAGAGAAAGCATTGATAGGCCAGCCAGGATGGGGAGCCATACCTGATGGGCCGAAGCTCGGGGAAAGAGGTCACGGCTGTGGCTCATCCACTGATTTCTCTATTTAGCAAGTTTACTGAGCACCAAGCATGTGCTACACCGTGTAGGCACTGAGGATATGGAAGTGAACAGGGGAGCCCCAGTCCCTGCCTTCAAGGGACTCACCCTCTTGAGCAGAGGGCTGAAACTTGGAGCATTCATTTTGTTTTTTTAAACTACAATTTGTTGAACAATTACTGTATTCTAGGGGCTATACTATGTGTTGGACAGATGTCACTTGTCTTTAATATCTTCATTTTTTATAATAAAATGGAATACCTTTTTTAGAAAAATGCAAACAGTGAAAAAACATACAAAGCAAACAATTAAGGTTCACACACAAATACACACACACACCCCTAGCCACTCCCCACTTACCCCACACCCAAAGGGAAAACAGGTCTGTTAGAGATTAAGAGAAGTCCAGGGACTTGCACTTTTAAAACAATAAAACGTTCATAGTGTCCTTTAAATGTTTGCATTGAATACACTAGTTTATTTAACACACACAAAAGTTGCAATGTAGTACCAAATTTTAAAAGAATTCAGTGTATAGTGTTAGCTATGGTGTGGTAAGAGGATCTCTGCTTACAGGTGGAGGAAGAAGCCAGCTGCTTTCATTTCTGCATTCATACAGACCCCAGATAGATGACGTTTGGGGTCTCCACTGGCGGGGCTTACTCCCCCATGTCTGTGGGCATTGATGCCATGTGTTCGCAGAGGATGAGCAGCCTCTCTAACAAGTCACTCACATGTCTCTCCTCTTTGGATGTACAGATCCTGAAATATGATGTTCTCACAAAGTCAACCTTAAAATGGGGACAGGAGCACTGCTGGCCAGCAGAACCGCTGTTCATCCCCATGCCGGGTGCCAAGGACGAGGATGACGGTAAGACTCCAGGAAGGGGAGCCCCCGCTTGCTGCATTCTGCTCGTGATCACCCCCCAGTCAGAGACGTCGTTTGGAGGCAATGACCCTCCCTCCACACACCCCACGTCACACTGCTGGTGGAGGGAGGCTTTGAAGCCCAGGTCGGTCTGAGTCCAAAGCTGTGAATTAGGGAGTCCCTCAGAACACCCTCACTGCTGACACCAACTGCAAGTTCACTGGGCTTCGATAGGATTCACAGAACACGCTGAAAACTGTTAACAGTTGTGGTTTATCACAGTGGAAGGATGCAGATTGAAAGAAAAGAGGATCATGGGACGGGATCCAGGAGAATTCCATTCATGGAGCTTCTGGTTGTCAGGAGACCATGGCCCACCCCAACTCCAACAGTATCCATGGAATATCACCGGCCAGGGCAACTCACCCAAGCCTCAGGGACAGAGTCTTGTAGAGGCTTGGTCACGTACACATGGTTGGTTGGCTATGTGGTTGATCGTTAGCCTTCAGCCCCTCTGCAGGTCAAGCTGACATCCAAATCACTTTGCTAGGATAGAGCATCAGGGCCCCAGGTAAATAAAGATATTCTTATGAGGCAGGACATCACAGAGGCTTAGAGGTCACCTCCCAGGAGGAAAGGTTAGACCTCCCTTTTGGGGACATTAAATTGTTTGCTACACAAAGCCCACTTCTTTTCCACTTGAAAATTCATTGCAATGGCTGGGACACTGTTTGTTTGTTTGTTTGAATATAATTTATGGTCAAGTTGGTTGAACAATTCTTAACCATCTCTAAGTATGCACCTTTTGCCCGGAGCACCTGTAAATGCACATTTGTGGCCCACCTCTCTTTTTATAGATTTCCACATGACCAAATGGTCCTTTTCCTCCTTGATTCTGCCTTTGCCCCAGAAATCCCTGCACACATTTCTGGGGATACTAAGGGGGGGCAACCAGAACTATGGGTGGGGCTGCCCACACCTGCAGGAGAGGGTGAGCTCCCCCACTGGGCCTGCCAGCTGCTTCCCTGAGGTGAGAAGGAGTGGTTTTCTGCCTGGGCTGTGTCTTCCTCCTAATCACGCATGGCATGGCACACAGGCAGAGGGGACCCCAAGTTGCTGTCATCTCTGAGGTGGAGGAGTGTTCATAGCACCTCGTGCTGAGGCTGGCCTCCCACTGGCTGGGCCAGTGCTTCCCCTACATTCTCTTGTGGGCAGGGAGTGGCACTGTCTTCATTCCACCAGAGGAGAGGCTGAGAAAGTGATGTAATTTACCTACAGCCACACCCCTGGTACCTACAGAGTTAGGATTTTAATCCAAGCCAATCTGACTTCAACTATGCTCAACCACCCTGAAGCCCAGGAGGCTTTGGGAGGACTCATGAACAGTTGCTGCAAGTTTATGGGCATTCTTTTATTTAATCCTACATCCCTTGAGAGTGAATACTTAGAATATTTCCATTATTTTTTTTACAAAGGGGAAGGCCGAGGCTACTAGTGTGCTGTCTTGGGCATAAAGTGAATTGGGCTCATTCAAATGCCATTGAGTGCAGCTAGTCTGAGTCTAGCTAAGTGCCATCTATTAGCCTCAATCAGCCTCGAAACTGATTCTCTATAATCAGACTTTCTTTTTATTTATTTATTTATCTCATGTTTTTGTCCCCCTCCCTGTTTATATATTATATTTGCTTCCTTTCCCTTGTATTCATCTGTTTGGTATCTTAACGTCCTCATATGAGTGAAGTCATATATTTGTCTTTCTCTGACTGACTAATTTTGCTTAGCATAATACCCTCCAGTTCCATCCACGTAGTTGGATGGCAAGATTTCATTCTTTTTGATTGCCGAGTAATACTCCGTTGTATGTATATACCACATCTTCTTTATCCGTTCATCTGCCTATGGACATTTGGGCTCTTTCCATAATTTGGCTATTGTCAGTAGTGCTGCTATAAACATTGGGGTGTGTGTGCCCCTTCAAAACAGCATACCTGTATCCCTTGGATAAGTCCCTAGTGGTGCAATTGCTGGGTCATAGGGTAGTTCTCTTTTTAATTTTCGAGGAACCTCCATACTGTTTTCCAGGGTGGCTGCACCAGTTTGCATTCCCGCCAGCAGTGCAAAAGAGATCCTCTTTCTGGGCATCCTCACCAACATCTGTTGTTGCCTGAGTTGTTAATGTTAGCCATTCTGACAGGTGTGAGGTGGTTCCTCATTGTGGTTCTATTTCCCTGATGTTGAGTGACGTTGAACATCATTTCATGTATCAGTTGGCCATCTGGATGTCTTCTTTGAAGAAGTGTCTGTTCATGTCTTTTGCCCATTTCTTCATTATGTAATCAGACTTTCTAAATAGTAGTCAAATAGCCATTCTTCAATGCACACAGTATTTTACAAAATGCTTTCATGATTCACCATGCATGAGATCATCCTAGCAGCCCTACGAGGGTAGTGAGGATTATCCTTCCTCTGAAGAGGGGCTGACTAAGGGTCCGGGAGGTAAAGGGACTGGCCGCCAGCGGGGCTGGAGCCAGACCTTCTGGTTCCTAGTTCCCCAGCCTTTCCCTCCTGCTCACACAAAATATCAAATTCGCCTTCCTTTTGTTCAAAGAGGACAGGGAGATACAGCTGAGAAACTTATCCCTCCAGCTGGAGGAAGTTCAAGTCTGCACTTTCACAAAGTGTCTCTTTTTGTTTCCCCAAAGGAATTATCTTATCGGCCATTGTGTCTACTCATCCCCAAAAGCTGCCTTTCCTGCTTGTTCTGGATGCCAAAAGTTTCACAGAACTGGCTCGTGCATCCATTGATGTAGACATGCACCTGGATCTCCACGGGCTATTCATCCCGGATGCAGAGGGGGATACAAGGGAGCAGGCCCCTTCCCAGGAGCAGCGGGACAGGGCTCCAGACTGCCCCACGGCCCCACAGACCTGAGTGGGTTGGGCCTGGGCCGAACAGCTCTGATGGCGGGCACCCACAGGATTGTGGGCTTGCTTGCTCTCTGGGAGTAGGGGAGGTCCTTCATTTCCTTTTGCACTTATTCTTCCTGAGGTGGTTTTGAGATGAACGTATAGAAATCGTGTCTTTTCTTTCATCTTATTTTGGCCATAAAATTCTTGAAAGTGGATCAAATATGTATTCATTAGCTCAAGCACTTCCAAGAAAGCCCTTTTCCTTTATTATAAAACCATGCCCAGGAATTGTATTAAATCACATAATCATCCTTCTTAGAATGAGCGACCACTGATGTGCCAGAGAAGAGACAGGTAACTATTTATCACTGCTCCTTCCTCCCACCCCTTGTTTCCCTCTTTCCAGTAGACTAGACTGTGCATCTGGGAGATCTAGATTTCTCAACCATGCCCTGTTAGTAAATCCTGTGGCCAGGAAGGCATATTGCCTTGTGGTCATTCCATGCAAGGCATGGCATAATGTAAAATAGTAAAAGTGTTAAAGTCTGTTCCATCCTTATTTAACTTTTATGTGGCTTCTTTCCTCTGAAGTTCTTCTAAGGCAATAAAATAGAGTGCAGGAGTAGACAGTCTGCAGCCATCCAGATGCCGCATTGGACAGCAGGTTGGGACAGCAGATTGGTGTGGGAATCCCCTTTGCAGGAGAGGCTTAAGGGGCTGGATGGTGACCCAACTAGCCATGGCCAACAGGCTAGAATCCAGGATGGAGGCCCAGGCCAGGGCTGGCATGAGGAGTTCTTGCCTAATGCTGAGAACCAGGGCAGGGAGCCCTGCCAGTATCTATAGGGGAAAGTAGGTTCCTTGAGCTGAATGTGCTGCCAGGGTAGACCAGGTGTTTGGGCAGAGATGGAGGCTGGGAACATGCCAAGAAGGGTCCCATGTGAGTCCTGGGAACTCCTTGGACATTGAGTCTCGCCTTTATAGTCTAGTGGGTACTTGACATAGAGACCCAAAGGCAGACTGGATAATTCCCAAGTACCCATGCCACAGGGTCAGGGGAGCTGGGATTCCACACTTATTCTGCACCTGCCTCCTTCCACAAGTCTGGATTTTTTTCAGTCACCAGTAGAGACTCAGTGACATGTGTTGAGGACAGGAAGGAATCTCTGGTGACATTGCATAGAATACCCCAGAGTGGGCAGAGCTCTGAAGGATGGTCTTGACTTTTACCCTGCAAAAACACCATGAAGCCATACTTAGCTCCCACTCAAATGTAGGGTCCATCAAGTCTGGGGGTTGGGTTTTGTTTTGGGGGTGTTTTTTGGACATTTTTATTGGAATAATTGCAGATTCATGTACAGGTCTAGGAAATAATACAAAAGAGATCACTCATGGACTTTACTCAGGTTTTCCAATGGTAACATTATAGTACAGTTAACACAACCAGGATATAACATTGATTCAGTCCATAGATCTTTTTCAGATTGCCCCAGTTTTACTTGTATTCTTCGGTGTGCGTGCTTAGTTCTATGCAATTTTACCATACGTGTAGGTTCCTGCATCCACCACCATGATCAAGGTACCAAATGGCACATCAATATAAGGATTCTGTGGGGTGCTTTCTTATCACTACACCTACCATTCACCCACCATGACCTTCCCCATCCCTAGCCCCTGGCAACCACCATTTCTAAAATTTTATCATTTAAAAACTGCTATCTCAATGGAATTACCAGTATTGACTGTTGGGGATTGACTCTTCCCTGAAGAATTGCTTAGAGATTCATCCACATTGTTCTGTGTTGGGCATGTTTTGTTCACTACTGTATCCTTGGCACCTAGGACACTTCCTGGTGCTTCACAGGCTTTCAATAAATGTTTGTTGAGTGATTGCATGAGTGAATTCCTTCAAAAACAGATTGTTGGTTGATATGTACTAACGATAAATGGATATTTTACTACTGTTCTCCTGGGAAGACGAGGAAGACGGTTCACATGGACCCCGATGACAACACACAGGCTCCTGCCCTGCCATCCCTGACCTGACCCCTCCTCTCTCTCTTTCCATGTTCGTTCCTCAAATCTCCTCCACCATCCCAGTATTTCAATCCCACCCTCAGTGCACAGATCCCATTAAACAGAAACATGTCACCTGGAGATGGTAGAATGAAGACTATCTACACTTTCTTTGGGGATCCCCATATTTCCAGCCTTCAGGAGATAGGCCGGGAGGAAATGCCAGTGTGGTGGCCTGAGACCAGTATTACTGAGGTCTGCATTCAGATAACAGGAATGGAAAAGAGTTGACAGATGTGATAGTCACTCACCTACTCATTGTTCTACTTCAGGTACTTGAGAAGAGGGTGGAATTAAAAAGTGCTTCCCCACCCCCACTCTGCTCTGTTCCAGTTGCCAAACAGTATCCAGACCTACTCACGAAAAAGGGTGCAGTTCTGCGGGGAAGTAAAATATGTCCGTGGTTTGTTTACCTTGTTCAAGATGACAGGTGAGATACCAGACTGGTGAGGATGGCTGGCTCACCAAATCTTTTTTCCCCCAGTTCCAGAAACATCAAAGACCGATGCCAGGATACCTGATTTATCTTGATCCTTAACTCCATCATGTTTTATACACAGGCCAGGGTAATTAGCTCAAAATGTCACAGAAGCTAAGACGCATGCGCCTTTCTTGAAGGCACCACAAGACGGTCCGTCTAATCCTCCGAGCCTTCCTTGTTATGCTTTGTGTGGGTGTAACACATGACCAGGAAGTTCTACAGGAACAATCAATCACTCAGATTTGTTTGTTGCTTTCATAAAGCCACAGCATTTCACAAGTGCCCTGAGATGTGTCAGGTACTGCGTAAGCCCTCAAATGTTTGCTGACCCACTGACTTTTTCATTCAAAGTTCTAATTTGATTCCAACTCAAGAATAAGCTGGATGTCTACTTGGACAAATCAACTCACGAAAAATATTAGTACTTTTGAATAACATCCTCATTACTGGTTCACACTCCCTTCCTCCCGACCAAAGTTCCCGAACGTGGGGCTGACTCCATTAAGAAGAGTTCCTGGTCCAGGTTAAGCACAAAGACCTTTGATCACTTCTTCAGTTGTTTAAAGACTGGGTGGTTTTTAAATGGCCAAGAGAAGTCCTTCCCTTGGCAAATCAGGACATGCAGAAGAGTCATTACCACCTTCCTCATCATCCAACACTGATGAGCCCTGTGGCCTCTACCTCAACTTCCTTCTAGGTGTTTTTAGCTCAGCCGCCAGGTGCAGACACAAACACAGTCGGCTGTACCAGCTGCTGGACCACATCAGGAAACAGTCTCTTGAGGTCAAGCACCGGCATAGAGGCTGAGGATTTTCTTGGACAACACAAGCAGAGAGAGATGTGGAGGCGCCATGTTTGGACAGGGTGGGGGATGAGCCAGCCTTCTCTCCTCTTGGTGATAAGGCAAAGCTTCTCAGAGCCAAGTACCTTCAGGAGCTGAGTGCTGTCCTTGCAGGCTGAGGGTGCAGCGCAGGCAAAGGATTTGGAGATGGGTGAACAAAGCACGCGGAGAGTGAATTCCCCAAGAAAGAGCAGTTGAAAGAGTGAGAGAATTAGGAGAACATTTTTCTCTGATTATAAAAGTCACATATGTTCATCATGGAACACCTGGTTACATTGAAGAAGAAATGAGAAAGACACCCGTAGTCCCACTATCAAAGGAAAACCCCTGAAGTCATTCTGCTATAGTTTTGTTTTTCAGTATTTAAAATATTTTTGTACAGGGGGGGCTGGGTGGCTCAGTTGGTTAAGCATCCAGCTTCAGCTCAGATCATGATCTTGCCATTTTTGAGTTCGAGCCCCACATCAGGCCCTGTGCTGACAGTTCAGAGCCTGGAGCCAGCTTCAGATTCTGTGTCTCCCTGTCTGTCTCTGCCCCTCCCCCACTTGTGCTCTGTCTCTCTCTATCTCTCAAATATAAATAAATGTTAAAAAAATTAAAATAGTTTTGTCCACAAATTATATAGTGGCAGTCAGTTTATAACCTGTCTACCAGTTTATAACCTGCTTCTTTCACTTAACATATGATACAAGTATTTTCTCAAACTACAAAATTCTTCTTTTTTTAAAGTTCATTTTTTTATTTTGAGAGAGAGAGCATGTGCACATGAGTGGGGGAGGAGCAGAGAGAGAGGGAGAGAGAGAATCCCAAGAAGGCTCTCCACTGGCAACACAGAGCCATCATGACCTGAGCTGAAATGGAGAGTCAGATGCTTAACCAACTGAGCCACCCAGGTGCCCCAAACTATTAAATTCTTCTAATGGGAGCACATTATTTCAACTTTGGGACATGGCATGATGTACACTATCCTACCACTGGACATTTAGGTTGTTTCCGATTTTAGACTAGTAGAAATAATGCCAGATCGGTGACTTTGCACAAGTGTTTCCAGAGTTCACCCCTCTCCTCTGCTCTGGACTCAAATGCTTGTTAATGATATGTTCTTTGGCTAGATTCCCAACTTGGTATTTCTGAGCCAAAGAGTAGAAAAACAAGGTTTTGGGTGTTCTTTGTAAGGCCTAAGGTTTTGGTTTGATTCACAGGAAACTGAGCAGCCATTATACAATGTGAGAGGCTCACACGGTCAAAGTGACTGTAGGGCTGAGAACTGTGGATTTCTCAGGAAATAGGGAAAATGGGGTACTTGGTAATATAACTCTCACCCAAATCCTCCCTTCTTCCTTTTCCCTATTCTGTCTTCTCCATATCTTTGCATTCTGTATAGATACTTGGTCTATTTCAGGTGTATATTCACTTCACTCACTCACTCATTTATTCATTCGTTCAGCGACAGCCAAGCCTATGTTGGTATTTAATGGTGGGCAACCGTCCTCAGGGAACATACAGAGCATTGAAGGACACAATATCAGAAGCAAGCCAACACACTTCAGTGGAATGGCGCTAAGAAAAGGGAACACCCTCGGGAGCACCCAGTGCTGCCTTGAAATCCCTACTCATCCCTGGT